GCTCCCTCCCCTGACACACTACAATCGCTCTATGCCATGGCAGGCAGTCTTCTACTCTGTCCCTGAAAAAAGTCTTCTCCCGCTAGCTAACTTTTTGGCATATAGATATACACAGACACATATATACCCTTGCAAATAGTTTTCAAATATCATTAGGCCTAAGAAAATGTAAATGATGCTGTCGTAACTGTACTGTAATTTCATTAACGGACTATCTTGGTTCTTTGACTAGAGTTGCATGCAGTGATAAGACCACCCACCTATAGAGACAGAGTCTTTTCACAGGGTTTCATAAAAAACAGTCACATTTAGTCCTGACTTTCTTGTCTGCTATCTCACTTAATCTCCACAAAAACCCTTTGAGAGATGGGCAGGGAGACTGGTAGCTTGGGAAATTAAGTACCTAGTCCAAGGTCACAAAGGGAGATCATGCAAATGTGTTTGTTCTAATTCAGTTTGATTCAATTTCACAAACATTTATTAAGCAGCTACTCTGTGCTAGGCACTGATCATGCAAAGACAAAACCAAACTTTCTCTGCCCTGAAGGAAGTGATGTTCTCTTGCAGGGGGGACAGAAAACATTCACAGAGAATTATAGCACAAGGTAAGGAGTGATGAGGGACAGCTACATGGTACAGCGGAGAGAGTGCTGGGCCTGGAGTCAGGAAGACTCATCTTTGTGAATTCAAATCTGGTCTCAGATGCTTGCTAGCTGTATGACTCTGGGCAAGTCACTTAACCCTGTTTGCCTCAATTTCCTCATCTGTAAAATGAGCTGGAGAAGGAAATGACAAACCGCTCCAGTGTCTATGCCAGGAAAACTCCAAATGGGGTCATGAAGAGTTGGATATGACTGCAATGAATGAACAACAAGAAGGAGGAGTGATGGTGGCAGAAGAGATATCAGACAAAGGGCCTTTGGGCTCTTTTGAGCAGGGAGAGTTTGCTTTCAGCTAGGAGAAGGATAGAATCTGATCAGAGAAGGATCTTAAGAGGAAATGAAGAGGGAGTACCTTACAGGTATGAGAGATGGCCCATGGGGATGCAGGGAGGTAAGAGATGGTGTTTTGAATTCATGGAACAGTCTGGTTTGGCTGGAACATATGATGCAGTGAAGGAGAATAATGAGAATCATGCAATGGAAAAGATTCAAACTCACATTTTCTGGCTCTAGATACTGCATTCATTGCACTAACTCACTCTTTGGAAGATCAGGTGAAATGGATCAGAAAGTACTTTCACACCAAAAAGTGCTGCAGGATTGTAAGCTGTTCTTACTATAAAGGGCAGGGTCTTCTCTTCTAAGCACTTACAGTGTCATAAGATCTTAGATTCAGAGCTAAAAGAGACCTTAGAGGTCTCTGAGTCCAGCCTTCCCATTTCAGAGATGAAAAAAGTGAGGTCCAGGTGACTTGGCCAGGGGCACACAGCTAGTATGAATCTGAGGCAGGATTTTAACTACTAGTACACTCTATCCACCAGCTCATGCTTCCTTTCCTGAATCTCATCTCCTCCACTCCTCTCTCTGCCTATAAATATCCCAAATAGACTGGAAAATATGTGGGCGCCATTTAAAAACTCAATTCAATTCAATTCAACAAATACTTATTCAGGAGCTATAGCTCTGTGCCCATGGCTGAGGGAGAAATGGTGTTTAGATGAGACGGGCTCCCTCAAGGAGCTTACAGTCTAGCAGAGGGGAAAGACACTAAGAGATAAGTATGATACTCAAAATGACATGGAGAGTTATCGAGCTACAGGGAGAAGGACAAGTGAGGTCTGAGGGGAAAGGTCATTACCAACCAGGAGGAACAGGGAAGGCTTCTTGGAAGAGGTGGAATTTGTTCGGGACTTTAAAGGATGGGTGGGAATTCAGCAGGAAAAGAGGTAGAGGGAAGACATTCTGGTCCTAGGGAACAGTTATAAGCAAAGACATCAACCGCAGCAGAGCTGACATTTGCGCTCTGCTGGTGGAGACTGTTGGAAGGAAGTTTTGGTGGGGAAAGCTTTCTGAAAGTCCTCATTTGTCTCCCTCTATACTTTTCAGGAGGACATGGAGAGATGCATATGTTTAATACATTGTCATCCTTGAAAAATATTAAAACCACTCTCCATTTAGGGAATGGAAGGGGTCTTAGTAGCTTCTAAATTTAATCCCCTCACTTCACTAAAGAAGGAAAAGCACCCTAGAGAACGGGAGGGTCATTCTCGAGGCTACACAGCTACTAAGTGATGGAGCTGGGAACTGAACCCAAGTTCTGATGGACCCCCAAGTCACAGTATCATGGACTTTGGAGCTGGGAAGGGAGGTGAGGGACCATCTGGGTTAATCTGTTCATTTTATGGATTTGAAAACTGGGATCGTACTTAATAAATGTTTGTTGATTGGCTGAATAATTAATTAAGTGACTTTCTCTATCGTCAAAGAGACAATAAACAGAAGCAGCGTGCTGCAATTAGAAGGGTGCTAGATTTGGACTCAGAGGACTTAGGTTGAAATATGGGCTCTGTCTCTTTTGTGTTTCCTGGAGTAAGTCTCTTCCCCTCTTTGGACCTGTTTCCTTGTCTGTGCATTTTACGGAGCACTTTAAGGTTTGCAAAGAACTTTACAAACATTATCCCATTTGTTCCTCACAACAACCCTGGGAGATAGATGCTATTATCATCCCCATTTTATAGGTAAGGAAACTGAGGCAGGCAGAAAGTGACTTACCCAGGGGTAACACTCCTAGTGTTTAAGGCTAGATTTGAACTCAGGTCTTCTTGATTCCAGGCCCGGCACTCTATCCTAGATGCCCTTCCACATCAAAATCTACATGTATGATATTATAAGTTGTAGAATCGGCCTTCAAATCTGGTGCTACTTCCACTACATCATAAGTTCCTTCCTACCTGCCTCTACCCTGTGCCTTTTACCCCATCCCTTAGAGGGACTTTCAAGATTACAGTTCATAGTCATGGGATTCTTTCTTAACAGAAACCATAAAAGACGGATTAAGGTAGGGAAAGAGGCTTAATTATGGAAAAGCTACATCTAGAGGGAATACGTAATGAATTTATTTAACAATGGAGACTCTGGGTCTCTGAACTATTTCCGCCTGGCACCTGGGCCTGGAATAAGGGTCTTGTTGGTGATGGTGATGGGGGAGGCCGAGGTGCCTTGAGTGTCTTGGATTCTGGTGGTATACATGTTAGCTGTAACATCCACACCATTGGCACGGCTTTCTTTTTGGGACACCTAGGATATTATTTACCATGAGGATCTCAAAGGCTGGTGATAACAGATGCTGTCTTGCCAATAAAGGAGGGAATGAAGAGGGGAAGGGAATAAGCATTTATATTGTACCAACTGTGTACCAGGCACTGTGCTAAGTGCCTTACAAATATTATCTCATTTGATCTTCACAACAACCCTGCAAGGTAGGTGCCGTTATTATCCCCATTTTACAGTTGAGGAAACTGAGGAAAAGAAGTAAAGCAACTTTCCTAGGTTGCATGGCTAATAGTATCTAAGGCTGGATTTGAACTTGGGTCTTTTTGACTCTAGGCTCACTGTGCTATTAGCTGCCCAGTGAAAAAGAAATTTCTTAGGTCTTAGGATTTACCATCAGAGATACTGTGTCTCTTCCATTTGCGGGTAGTGAGCCAGGCCTGGGATTCCATCAATGTGGAGAACTCCCTCCACTGAGGGAATAGCACCTCATTAGTAATGTTATCTTACAGACTTGACCTGGGCACTTAGAAATGGGGTAGTTCATCTGTAGTTATACAACCCATATGTGCCAGAAGCAGGACTTGAACCCAGGTCTTCTTGGCTCCAAGGCTGACCCACTACAATGCCTACTACACCACGCTATCTTCATTTCATAGAAAAAAAAAATATATATATACACACACATATACACATAATTTCGAGAGATGAAATGATTTCTTCAGGGTCACACGGGGGTAAGCTGCAGAGCTGGAATCCTGAGCTCAGGCTTCTGACTCTAAATCCAGTGGGAGTCACAATGCCCTTACTATGCCATGAGCTTCATGAGGGCAGGGACCATGTATTAGCTAAATGCTGTTCGCTTCCTTGGTATCCAGAAGAGGCTCAAGACATGGTACATACTCAATACACATTTGCTGAATTGAATTAAATGTTGAGGAGGTGCCTGTTTTTGCATTCATGTATTTACCACATTCACATACCTGCTTCCCCCAACTGGATTATAAGCTTCATGAAGGCAGGGATCTCATCTTAAACTGTATATCTCCCCTAGTAACAAGTACGGTGCTATGAAATCAGTCGTCATTTCATAAATGTTTACTAAATCATGTTGAACGTTGGAGAGTTTAACAAAGAGCATCCAGGAGGTGCTCAGGTACTTAACTTTTCTTGTTGAGGGTCTAGATCAGAATCTGGTACTTCAAACAGACCCCTTTGTTGTTGTCTCCTCACCATCTGGCACAGTGCCTGGCACACAGTAAGTACTTAAATAAATGCTCCTTGAATACAAATGGATGAATGAATGAATGAATATATGAGGAATGCTCCTTGAAGACAAATGGATGAATGAAGGATGAATGAATGAATATATGAGGAGGAAGGAGATCTATAATTTGCTCTTTAGGGACTGAAGTCAACTGGCACCACATTTTAACATCTCTATAGCTTCCATAATCCCCTTCTTTTCACCTTCTGTAAAACAGCTCTTCTTACTGAATCTCTGATCTAACACCAAAGGATTTAAAAAAAAAGGACTTCTGCCTTGCCTTGACCTGCAATGTGTTCCAAAGGCTGGTTGGTAGGGTTGAGAAATTGCCTTGGGGAGGGAACTCTCTGCTGGGGTAGAACTCAGCGTCATTTGTCCCACCTATGTAGTGGAACATGTGGACCACAGAGGCCCATCCCAGACGGCCTTGCTCATGCCGCCATGCCGCCTTGGAGTCCCAGCGGCTAATTCCACCGGGGCCCCAGCAGAAGAAGTGAAAGTCATGGCGAGCAAGTGACTACCTTAACTCCAGGATGTTGGTGACATTGCCAGAGGGGAAGATCCTCCGAATGTAGTTGAAGTCCCCGACGTAGAGGCTGCCATCTGAGCCGCACGCCAGGGCCACCGGAGCCAGCAGCTTGTTGCCGTCAGCAAGGCCGTTACAGCTGGGACAGGAAATGCTTCGCCTCCGTCCATTACCCATGATGCTCCCAATGACGGGCGGCTGCTGGGATACAAACTGGTTTTCTCCATTTCCTTTATGTAGTATACCTAGGAAAAAGGCGAAGAAAGAAAAAAGTAAGTTGAGATGAAGAAGCGTGTTTCCTTTCCTTGGTCACAAACATGCCTTTATTTAGTACAGTGAGGTCTCCTATCCTGAGATTTAGGGCTGGAAGGGACCTTACAGATGATCTAATCTGACTCTCTAGTTTTACCAAGTCCCAGACAGGAGAAACACTTGGCCCCAGGTCACACAGGTAATGAACAACAGATTTGGGATCTGAACCCAGGCTCTCTTATTACAAAAATCCAGGGAGTTGTCTACTAAACTAAGCTGTCTATTTGGTTTCTATTAAACATAAAATTTTAGAAATAGATAATGGCTAGCCATGCTTACATTTGCCAATTTAAAAAAACCCTGAAAGTTAACTTAAAAATTCATCTGAGAAGGTGATAAAATTTTACATATCTCTGAGAAATGGACAAATGGAAGCAGCGATTGAGTCAACAAATGCCATTTCCTCTCTGATTCTCTTGGTTTCCTTAATTCCTGATTCTTCTTTGTTTTCTTAATTCAATCCAGTTCAGTTCAGTTCGGAATTATGTTAACTAACGATTGGCCAAGACCCTCAGACCATCCAGCCTCCACTCAGTTATCCTTGCTTATGTCTACATTGTTCTTTCTATGGTTTTGTTGAATTGTTTTTCTTTGTTATGAAACAGGGTTCCTTAGGTGGTGGTGGTGGTGGTGATGGCATATATGCAGAAATTTCTATGCACAAGCAAAAAAATTCTTCTGTGATTTATTTGAGAGAGACTTCCTGAATAAATAAATTTTGGAATTCTCACAGAGAGTGAATTCAAGACAGTGAACATTAGACTGTGAGTTCTCTGAGGGCAGGCAGAGTTTTCTGCCTTTCTTTGTATCTCCTGAACTTAGTACAGTGCCTGGCACATAGTAGGCCCTTCACAAATGCACCTGCCTGACAGCCATTTATAGCAACAAGCTGGATAGGCCAAAAAGTAAGATGATATACTTAAAGAAATCATAGGGGTAGGTAGGTAGTGCAGTAGATATAGTACCAGCTCTGGGGTCAATAGGACCTGAGTACAAATCCAGCCTCAGATATTTACTAGCTGTGTGACCTTGGGCAAGTCACTAAACCTCGATTGCTCCCCTCCCCCTGAAAAAAAACGACAACAAAACAAGTCAAAACCAAAATTACACTAAGACACAGTGGGAAAACGTTGATAATAGACTGGGTTTTATGCTGTAGAGTCTATTTTTTTGGGGGGGTTAGGCAATGGGGTTAAGCAACTTGCCCAGGGTCACACAGCTAGTGTTATGTGTCTGAGGCCGGATTTCAATTCAGATCCTCCTGACTCCAAGGCTGGATCTCTATCCACTGCGCCACCTAGCTGCCCTGATTTTTTTCAAGGCTTCATATTTTAAAAGGGATATGGAGAAATATCATGGTGCTGAGTATATCAAGTACTGGAATGATCCAGGACCTCCTTGATGAGATCCAGAGTCATGAAAAGTTTGTTTGAACAATCCACCCAAGAAAAAACAAGTAGCTAATGAATGCCTTTCACCAAGATCATGATGTATAGTTGGGTGGGAAGGTCATTGAGTTAATATACACATCTTGAAGGTTACTATTGAAGACCAATTAGCTAGGCTCAGAATTGAAGAGGAAGAGAAGAGATGACTGTTTTGAACTTGGTAAAAAAAAAAGTTCAGGAATTTCAGTAATACTAGATATCTTTTTGTTGCTGCAAAAGTCTATAATTTCCAATGCCAATATTCTCATAGTGATACTATGTGCTGTAAATCAAGGATCAGATTTTCAGTTGAACCAAAAGGCGATGCTAAGATGCACACCAATGTAAGGAGCACATGACTGAAAGTGACCAATAGGCAAGATGAGGTGTGAAATCATGATTATGGCACCCATGGCATCTAGGACTGGAAAAGGAGGTTGGCCAAAGATGAAGGATAACATAGAGATAATTCTAGTGTGCCTGTGGAACCCACCTAATGTTCAAAGACTTAGCATCCTAGGTCTATACTCTATGGGGAATTGGAGAAAATACGAGGACAAGAATCCCAGGTGATGAAAAGGCATGGAAATGCTGAGGGAATACTGACCAGTACTTTTCCATTTTTAAAAAAGAATGGAAGAAGTTCCCTTAAATTTCAGCAAGAGATAATACCAGAGAGGGTGAGACACAGAAACAGGTTTCCTTGGGAGGTTATGAAAGCACCATCTGTAGAGAGCTTAAAAAAATTGGACTGACAACCATCTGTGTTGGATATGTATCCTCTCCTCAGCTTATAGACAAGGGTCTAAATTAGATGCCTGGAAGGCCACCTGTCAGTGATGCAGAAGCTAGGATTCTTGCCTAGGGTAGAAACTTGGACTAAAAGAACCATCATATTCCTTTAAACTTGAGGATGCTACAAAGCCCTATCTGGAACAATGAGATTGTTGTTAAAGTGATAACAAATCTCACCTTTTCTTTAACATGTATGGACAAAAAAGATACCTTTCTACCTATTGGGAAATTATTTTATGAGTGAATTTATGCCTCATTCTTCTTAACTAATGTAACTGTTTTAATCTAAAAAACATCTTACATACCTCAAGATCTTTGCTAGATTTTCAGTATTTTTAGAACATGTCAAAGCCCTTGATAAACTAATATCAAAGCCAAGCTAACAATGATTTATCAAGTACCTTCTGTTTGTGCACTGTTTGAGGAGCTAGAGATACAATGACAAAACAAAAAAAATCACCCCTGCCTTCAGTGAGCTTCCTTCCATTCTCCTCTCATGAACAGCCAACTTTGAGTGACTGATTTCCTCCTCTGATTTTATTTTACACAGGCATTGTTGTGTGTGTGTTTTTTTAATGAATATATATGGAGAAGATGTGGGAAAATTGGAGCACTAATGCATTGCTGGTGTAGTTGTGAACTGATTCAACTATTCTGGAGAGCAATGCCCAAAGAGCTATAAAACTGTGCATACCATTTGATCTAGTAATACCACTAAGTCTGTATCCCAAAGAGATCATAAAAAAGAGTAAAGGACCCACATGTACAAAAATATCTATAACAGCTCTTTTTGTGGTGGCAAAGAATTGCAAATTGAAGGGATGCCCATCAATTATGGGCATATATATTGATATAATTATATAAATTATGGCTGAACAACCTGTGGTATATGAATGTAATGGAATACTATTGTGCTATAAGAAATGATGAGCAGGCGAATTTCAGAAAAACTTGCAAAGACTTACATGAACTGATGCTGAGTGAAATGAGCAGAACCAGAACATTGTACACAGTAACAGCAACACTGTGTGATGATCAATCATGAAAGACTCAGCTCTTCTGAGCAATACAATGATCTAAGACAATTCCAAAAGACTCGTGATGGAAAATGCTGTCCACATCCAGAGAAAGAACTATGGAGCCTGAATGCAGATCGAAGCATACTATTTTCACTTATTTTTTGTTTTTCCTTGCTTGTGGTTTTTTCTTTTTGTTCTACTTCTTCTTTCATAACATGACTAATGCAGAAATATGTTTAACATGATTGTACATGTATAACCTATATCAGATTGCTTGCTGTCTTGCAGAGGGGGATGGTGAGGGTGGGAGGGAGAAAAATTTGGAAAACAAAATCTTATAAAAGCGAATGTTGAAAAATATCTTTACATGTAATTGGAAAAAATATTAACTGGGGAAAAATAAGGTCACCACAATCTCTTAAAAAATAAATAAATACAAATAAAAATGAACAGACAATCCTAAGTACTGAGCTCAGGGTCATGTCCATAGTAGGTTCTGAATAAAGATTTTCAGGATGAATAATTATTTCTAGGGTAATTTTTCTTGTTCTGTAACAGGCCTTTATTTCATGAATGAATGAGAAGGGCTATATGAAAATCTCCCCTTTCTCCCAAAATACAAGATTGCTGCTTGGTTGACTCTGAGCTTTTCATAGAAAAGCTGCTTTTATTAGAAGCAGAAAGGGATGTAGAATATAAAATATTAGATGATAGAAAGTTGGTGAGAGAGGGCAAGGAGGTCAAAAGCATTTATATAGTGCCTACTATGTGTCAGGGACCGTGCTAAGTGCTTTTACAAATATAATATCATTCGACCATTAGGGTTGGAAATAAGTGTGGTAGGAGCAACCTGGGACCTAAGAAGGCTGAGTGACTTGCCCTAGGTCATGATACCAGTTGGTGGCCTAGCTGAGAGCAAAGGGAAATGCTTGGTATGCATACTGGTTACATACATAGCCTATACCTCTGTCTAGTTCTTAAGCAACCACCACCAAAAAAACAAAACAAAACAAAACAAAAAAACCAAAACCTGTGATACCAATCTTTATTATGTCCAATAGATTGTTTTCTTCATTTAAATCTCTCCACATGGAGCTTGCTATGGAAATGTAGGTTACAATAAATTATTTGCCAACGGCAGCCTTCTTCCTCAAGTAGACACTGAATGATTTACAGAGACCAGTGACCAAGTGCTAGCCCCTGCAGCCCTGGCCATGTGGCCTTCTGTTGAGTCACTCACCACTCTGGATGTTGAGGGCATGATGCTTGTCCAAGGTCCATCCTCCCAGTTTGGAGGCATCAATCTCATAGCCCTGAAGTACTGCGGTCCTCTTCTCCCATAAGATCAAGTCTGGGCAGGATTCATATTCATACCCGACAGACACTGGGAAAAGGATGGAAAAACATTAAAAGAATACCGATAAATAATGAAATAGCATCCCTCCCTTTAAAAATGCTATCTGGCATCCTGAGTGTGAGGAGGTATATAATATAAAGAGTTTTGCAGTCAGGATACCTGAGTTCAATCCCACCTTTGACACTTATTAGCTATATGGCATTGACCAGGGCACAAAGTCTCTGGTCCTCAGGTTCCTCATTTGTAAAATGAAGGGGTTGGGCCAGATGGCCTCTGAGGTCTATCTCACTATGGGAAGGAGTCAAAGCCATTTATATACCAAGGTTATTAATGTATCATTTTAACACAGTGTTAACATAATATGAAAGAAAGGGCCCTGACCCTAGAGTCCTTGTGGTCTTTTGTGGGATACCTCCCTCTGCCACTGAACACACAAGTGTGGAAAAGTCACTTAACCTAGCTAAGCATCAGTTTCCTCAAGTGCAAGATGAAGACAATGATACTTGTATGAGATTGTTGTAACAGACTTGAAATGATGATATAATAATAATGATAATAATGATAGTGATGCTGCTGCTGCTAGCATTTATATAGTGCTTACTACATGCCAGGCACTGTGCTAAGCTCTACAAATATTATCTTTTTTTTTTTTTTGCGAGGCAATTGGGGTTAAGTGACTTGCCTAGGGTCATACAGCTAGTAAGTGTCAAGTTTCTGATCTGAGACCAGATTTGAACTCAGGTCCTCCTGACTCCAGGGCTGGTGCTCTATCCACTGCACCACTTAGCTGCTCCTACAAATATTATCTTATTTGATCTTCACGACAACCCTGAGAGGTAGGTGCTATTATTATCCCATTTTACAGTTGAAGAAACTGAGGCAAATAGAAGTTAAGTGACTTGCCCAGGATTATACAGCTAGTAAGTGTCTAAGGTTGGATTTGAATTCAGGTCTTTCATACTCCAAGTCCAGTGCTCTATCCACTGTACTACCTAGCTAGGGTAGTAGATAATATAAAATATTAACTAATATTATTCTTTGCTATATCTTTTTGGAACAACCCGGAAAGGAGGTAGGCTAGTGCTGGCCTGATGTATATGACATATTATAAGAAACAGAGGAAACCTGGGCAGTGGATAGAGTTCTGGAAACATAGTCAGAAAGGCCCAGTCTGAATCTCGCCTAAGACACTCACTAGCAATGTGACCCTGGGCAATTCCCTTAACTTCACTGGGCCTCATTTTCCTCATCTGTAAAATGGGGGGGGGGGAGGGTGTTGAACATGAAGACTTCTAAAGTCCCTTGCTACTCTAAATCTATGATTCTATAAACAGAAAGATATGGATAAAAATCTCATAGGACAAGAAAGCAGAGATGGGTTATGATTTGGAGCAATGGAAGGAGTCTCTACGTTGATCAGCTCACAAGTCTGCTAAAATGTAATAATAATAATAATAATGATAATGATAATAACAATAGCTAACATTTGTCTAGCTATTTAAGGTTTGTAAAGCACTTTATAAATGTTAGCTCATTGGATTCTTATAACCTTGTGAGGTAGGTGCTATTGTTATCCCCATTTTACAGATGAGGAAACTGAGACCCAGAGTGGTTAAGTCACTTGCCAAGGGTCACAGAACTAAGGAATATCTGGAGACAGATATCAAACTCATGTCATCTTGACTCCAAGTCCTCTGCACCACCTACCTGCCTGGTGAGATTTCTGCTGTATCTTGTTAGGAATCAGGCCTTCACAGCACTGTCACAGCCTGCACTCTCTTCACCATGTTTCTTCATGGGTACTCTCCTTCTTCCCCTTTTCCAATGCCCCTTTATGTGTTGTCTTCCTCCATTAGAATGTAAGCTCTTTGAGGGCAGGCACTGTCTTATTTTATTTGTATCCTTAGCATTTAGTATAGTGCCAGACATAAGCATTTAACAAATGGTGTATGTATGTATGTATGTATGTATGTATGTATGTATGCATGCATACATGTATGTATCCATCCATCCATCCATCTATCTATCTATCTATCTATCTATCTATCTATCTATCTATCTATCTATCTATCTTTCTATATCTCCAGCTCCTTCAGCAAATCCTCATACAGCATGGTCTCAAGGCCCTTCACCATCGTGGTTGCTCTCCTCTGGATGCTTTCTCTAGGTGATTAATGTCCTTCTTAAACTGCAGCACCCAGAACTATGCAAAATAAAATAACCTGTCCCTTCCTCCCTCCCTTCTTTCTCTCTCCCTCACTTCCTCTTCTCCCTCTCTTCTCTTCCTCTCCATGCAATTTTTCTCAAATTAAACTAAGTCCTCCTCCATCAGGGCTTTAGCGTGCTTGAAAGTTGAACTAAAACTCCCAAATTCTACGTGAGTGGACATAAAATGGAGCTCTGCCAGGTCGTCTAGCTGGAAAGAATTCAAGCATGGGTCTGATGACAGACCACGCATCTGGCATCCAAAGGCCGAGCCTCGCAACATTCAAAGAGCTTCATCACCAGAAGGCTGGCCATCAGGTTATGAATTTTTCAGCAATAGAAATTTCAAAAAGTTCATATTAAGGCATGAAAGGGTTGTAAATGGTACTGTCAGTAGGACAATCCAAACTGATGAAATCAGAGATCTCTGAAGAATGTTATTCATCTTTAAGTTAGATTAGTCATAGTGTTTATCTAGGAGACCTGAAGTCTCCTTCTAGCTCCAAGATTCAACAATATTAATTATAGTAATAAGAACAATAACAATAACAGCAGTTGATGTATTGAAGCAGAGCTTTATGGTTAGTAGTGATTCTCACATATAGTCTAACATTAAATCCTTGATTCTGAGTTTTCCTTCCATTTTCACTGTATATAAATTGTATGTATGAAGTTATTTGCATGTTGTCTCTCCCATTAGAATATATATTTCTTGAGGGCAGGGACCATACTTTCTTTTTAACCTCAGCACTTAGAATAGTGCTTGGAATACAGTAAGTGCTTAATAAATGCTTGTTGGCTACTGACTGATCCACAATGGATCTAGTTTTGTAGTATTAGTATTTGTAGTATTTGGTAGTATTAATATGTAGTATTGTAGTATTAGTATTTTGGAGCAGGTAGTATTAGTATTAGTATTTTCCAAATGAAGCAGCTGATACTCAAGGAGGTCATATTGATAGGTCTAGGAAGGGAAACCAGAGCTTCTGGTCACAATCCTCTTTCCATTCCTCTGCAGGCTACATTCCTAACTCATCTCCTCAGAACTTTCTCTCCCACATCATAGAAACCTCTTCACAGTGGAACTTTCCTCCACCTGGGGCTACTTCTCACCACTCTTGCATCCCCTCACTCTGATTGGCTGGTCCCTCCCAGAACCTCCATTTTAAGGACGGTGGGCAGGCCAACTATGCCTTTATTCTTCTCTAGGCTGCACTCTTGAATCTCCTGGACTTTCTCCACCAGTCCCCATGACAAGTACCTTCTTATTTCTCCCCCTTTCGGCTCCCTTTTATGTTTTATTTTCCTCGTTAGAATGTAAGATCCTGGAGGGCAGGGACTGTCTTTCTGCTTGTATTTATACTCCCAGTTCTAGGCACATAGTAAGTGATTAATAAATGCTTATTGGCTTGACCTACTTTTTCCATTACCCTATACTGCCTGAAGTAAAATCTCCTGACATCAGACTGTGAGCTCCTTGAAAGCAGGGATTTCCTTTTGCCTTTCTTTGTATCCCTAGTACTTAGAAGAGTGCCAATCACATAATGGGTGCTTAATGAATGTTTGTTGATCAACTCTCAGTTGCCATGTAGTAAAACTGTGACTTTTAACATAAAAATGTGAGAAATAATGTAAGCTCATAACAGATGAATAAAAGACTCATGAAATCGCAGGGGCATAGGGTGTTAAGAGTTGGAACAGGCCTTAGAGATCATTCTAGTCCAAACAACTGCTTTTACACATTATCTGTGAGTTTATCCTTTACCCCTAGGTGACTGATGAAGAAACTTCAGATCAAACAGAAGTGAGCTGCCTAAGTGAGGTGAGTATTGCAGTGGTAGGAAGAGGAAGGAGAAGTGAAAAAGGAGGAAGGACAGGAGACAGTCTATTACACGCCCCCTCTGACAGGCATGACTCTAAGAATACCAGGTAGCTTACCAAAGGCTTCTGAGAGGCCAAACACCTTCTGGTTGTAGACATCGGTCTTGTCCCAGATGAAATAGTAGGAGAGGTCTGGGGCAGCAGCGAACCACTTTCTGAAGAGGCGTCCTTCCACGGCTACCATGAGATGCACCTTCATGAGATTGAAGGGGACGGTGGGGTGGGTGAGGCTGATCTTCAGGACGGACTTGTAGCCAGGCGTCCGGCTGCTCAGGTAGCTCAACTTCATGCTGCAGCCCGAGATGCTGATCTCTTCCTGCAGAGCCTGGAGAACAAAGGGGGAGAAGTAGTAAAAGAGGAGAGGAGATCCTGGAAGCTCAGCATGGATAGGGACCTGGTCTATCAAATGCAGTGTTAGACCCTCTCCCACCTCTAAATCCTGTGCCCCCAGTCACAGACCCAGGAGAAGAACCCAGGTCTTCTGATTCCTAGTTCCCTGAACCAACCAACCACTAAGCCTTATTGCCTTACGGTCTTAAGGTGGTAAGGTTACAACACTTTCTGGCTTCTCCAGTAAACAAAAAACCCTTGGAAAAGAATATGAAACCCAGCTGCCCAGAAGTATCTAACCAGAAATAAGTATTATTGTAGAATGAACCATCTTCCAGCTGGAAGAAGCCTCAGGCAAAATACCATTGTCTCCACTACAGATGAAGTAACTGAAACCCAATTTAATACAATTTCAATAGAATTGAAGCTCTGTGAGGGCAGGCAGAGACTTTGTATCTATCTATCCTCAGAGCTTAACAGTGCATAGCTAAAAAGCTGTAGAATTTCTGTCGTATCATTCATGTAAAACAGTACCAGGATTCAGTATAACAAACCATTTAGAGTTAGTGGTCAACCTGCTACCCTTGAGCTCCATCAGTTTTTAGACAACACCTCTTTGGCACACTATGCTACAAGAACATTAACTTTAATTGATTGTAATCAGTGATTGGTCTACTAAAAGAACAATGGATTTGGATATCAGGACACTCGGGTTCAAGTTCTGGGTCTGACACTTATTTGCTGGGTGATCCTGAGCCTATCAATGTAACTTCTAAATTTAGGTTTCTTTCTTTGTAAAATGAAGAGATAGAATGAGTTGTTCTCTAAAGTCTGACTCTGTGTAAAGTCAGTTAACAGGGTATGAGACGTTAGCCAAGTATGTCTAGATCTCTGATCCTATGAGGATTCCCTAAACACTGCCCATAGAACCAATGAGAGAGGGCAAGGTCTTCCATGTAGACAATCTACCAGATGATCCAGTCAAGGATGTCAAGGTGGAAAGCACAGAGTTAAAGTTAGTCCTAAGCTCTGAAACTATTTAATAGGAATACCGTGACCAAACTCTGCAGTGTTCTAGCTGTGTGGTACAATGTTACAATGTGTTTTTCAAACTAGACACAAGTAAAAATAAATACAACGGATATTGAGACCTTAAAAAAAAGATTTCCATCAGTTCTTCCAAGATGGAAATTTTAAATTAATGTGAGGCTGCCAGCACACATTTAAGTAACAACTTTTGGTGGCTTGCTGCTCTGAGCTCAGTTCTAAGGAAGGAATGCAAAATCATGGTAGGGCCAATGCAGACATTGAAAGGATGGTGGTGATCCTTCCCTTGCATTTACAGAAGAGTAGCATCTGCATTCAATCCCATTTATGAAACAACTACCATGAGCTGGGTATGAAAGACAGATAATTCCCAAACCAGTCCCTGCTCTCAGGGAGCTTTCATTTGGGTTTAAACTCAGTGATTTCAAGTACTACAATGATAGCTGTGCATTCATAGAGCCAAAAGGGCAGAAATAAAATGTCTCTCATTCTCAACCTGGGCATTCCACAGTCCTGGCCTGATCATTAACATTCAGGGACCTCCACGATCTGGAGCCACCAGAATTTTCCAGCTTTTTCTTATATTACTCTGGGTTGATAGATCACTTCATCTCTCTAGGACTTGGTTTCCCCCTTTGTAAAATGAAGCGTTTGGGCTAGATCAGATTGGGACCCTAGACTCTTGATCTAGTGTCCATGGACCCTCAAGGAGTCTGGGGATAAATTTCTGGGGAGGGGGGCAGGTATGGAACTTGGATGGAAAAAATTTACATGTTTATTTTTACTAACCTCTACCTTAAATTGACTTCAATGACTTAAAAACATGATTTGGAGAAAGGGTCCACAGGTTTTACCGACTGCTAGAGGGGCCCATGACACACAAAAAGATGAAAAACTCCTCTAAACAATCCTGCAGGTCTTACAGCTCCAGATCGATGATTTTACGTCCTCCATTTCCTGCCTCCATGCTTTTGCTATGTTTCGCTCACCTCCAACTCTACCTATTGACATCCAACTCATCTTTTTAAAGTCTGGCTCAAACCCTGTCTTCTCTGTGACATCTTACCTAATCCCCCTAGGTGGATGTGATGTTTTCCCCTATCTAATCTCAAAGTATTTTCCAATTCTTTTATTCACTTATTCATTCATTCACTCATTTATCTTCCTTGAGCAAGCAAGCCACTTACCCCACCTAAGCCTCAGTTTCTTTGTCTGTGAAAAAGGGATAACATTCATTGCTATCCTGAATGTGAGATGACTGTGAAAGAAGCATGCTGTAAACAGTAAAGAACTATATTGTTGTTGTTTGGTCATTTCAGTCTTGTCTGACTCTTTGGGCCTTGTTTGGGGTTTTCTTGGCAAAGACACTTTGGCTTGCCATTTCCTTCTCCAGCTCATTTTACAAATGAGGAAACTGAGACAAACAGTGTTAAGTGATTTGCCCAGGGTCACACAGCTGATAAGTGTCTGAAGTTGGATTTGAACTCGGGTCTTCCTGACTTCAGGCCCAGCACTCTATCCACTGTGCCACCTGGCTGCTCAAAGCACTATGTAAATGCGAGCAATTATTATTATTATTACTATTACTGTGAGGAGCAACTTCCTCAGCCCTAGCAATCTTCAAGTAGAGGCTGGCTAATCATTTTGGGGGGATGGTAGGGAGAGGATTCCTCCTGAGGAAATTCTGAGGTTGTTCCTCTTTGGAAAGTCTGATTCTACGGTTCATACACAAAGAAAAGAGAGAGGAAAGGCAAATATGTGCTTTCCTAGGTAAGTGGCAGGAACTGTTAATATTTTCATTAATTATTATTATTCTAAAAACATTCCCTAAGCACTTACTATATACAAAGCCTGGTGCTGGGGGAGATATAAGAATGAAATAAGACACAATCCTCGCCTTGAAAGAGATTACAGTCTAGTAGAGGGTTAGTGTACAGATTGAAGGGAAATACAATCATCTTATTCTAATCTGTGTGACATACACTTATTAAATTCTGAGGCTAGGGACTGTGTGTGAATCATAGCTCACTTTTCTATTGTGCTTCATGTTTTATAAGATACTTACCACAGAACAATCCTGTGAGGTAAGTAGTGAAAAGACATTATCCTCATTTCATAGATGAGGAAACTGAGGCTCAGAGAAATGAATAATGATAATGATGATGATGATGATAGCTACTATTTACATAACACTTAACTCTATGCCAGGTACTGTGCTAAGCGCTCTAAAATATTATCTCACTTGATCCTAGTAGGTAGGTGCTATTATTACCCTCATTTTACAGCTAAGGAAATTAAGGCAAACAGAAGTGTAATGACTTGCTTGAGGTCACACAGCTATTAAGTATCTGGGGCCAGATTTTAATTCAGGCAGTCGTCGTCTTCTTTTTTTCTTTTGGCATTCATGGTTAAGTGACTTGCCCAGGTCACACAACTAGTAAGTGTCTGAGGCTGGATTTGAACTTAGGTCCTCCTGACTCCAGGCCTGGTGCTCTATGTACTGTACCACCTAGTTGCCCCTGAACTCAGGTCTTCTTGACTCCAGATCTAAGGCTCTATCCATTACACCACCTAGCTGCCCTAACTTGTCCATAGTTACTTCACTGCTGGTAGGAAGTGGAACCAAGATTCAAACCCAGGCATTTCCCATTGCAAGCCTCCTGTTTTTTTCTCCCCACCATGATGTCTCTGGGCAGCTAAGTGGTGCAATGAATACAGTGCTGGGTCTGAAGGCAGGAAGACCTGAGTTCAAATATGACTGTGTGACCCTGGGCAAGTCACTTAATCCTGTTTGCCTCATTTTGCTCATCTGTAAAGTGAGCTGGAGAAGGAAATGGCAAACCACTCCAGGATCTCTGCCAGGAAAACTCCAAAGGGGGCACAAAGAGTCAGACATGACTGAAGCATGATTAAATGACAGCATGATGTCTCTGCTCAGGATCCCAATACTGGGCTTTATATATAGTAGGTGCCTAATAAAGATTTTTCAAATGAATGAACGGACTTAAGTCAAAGCAAACCTTCCAAGTGTCAGCTCCTGCAAGCAGCCCGAGGTTCGACAGCTGGGTGAATCACTGTGTAAGAGCATCACCCCATTGCTCTCATAAATATTTACTTTCTCTAATGTACCCTTTTCAATTTACATCTCTCGGTGCTTGCAAAGGGTGAGAAATGATAGGACTGGGAGAACTCTAGAATTTATTTTAATATATTTTATGAGGTTAGCAACAAGAAAGGCTAAGAATGGGGTTCAGGCAGCCACCAGCTGCTTAGCTTTGTAGGGGGGCAGCAGTGGGGTTGGACAGTGTGCTCTTTTAACCTAATACAGCTGTAAGTCCCAACCACTGGGAAAAGACAGGCTGGCATAATGACTGCCTGAACACTCTTGGCAATGGTAGATTTGGCCTTGGGTAACAAATTACTGCTCCCTGGCATGATCTGTCTCTATTGACTTCCATCTCCTAAGAAAGGTCAGCCTGGTAGTACAGACTAGAAGGAGATACGTGCTGAATACTCTAAATGGGAGGGAGGTCAGAACCTGGAGGGAGCTCCATGGATTTCAAAATGGGTCCATTCTGCTCTTGGATGCTGTCAGCTGGATCAATGCGACACGGCACATACAGAGAAATGTGTTTGCTTAGTGGGGCATAAAACAGACATGCATAAATGTATAAAGGCAAGGCTCTGTGAACTCGGGCAATCCATCAACATGCATGTTGTCAGGGGGTTGATTCGGCAGGTTAGGGGAGCGCAGGCAGATTTCTCGTTAGGCTCCTGCTCCTCCACTCCCCACATCTCCCAGGTCGCCGTGTCTGCCATCAGAATCAGGGCTGGGGACAGCAATGCTCTAAGAAGGAATTCAACAAGTCTGAGGTTTGCTGGATGAAGAAATTTTGATTTCTGGCCTATTCCCATGTTTCCCTTAGAAGGCAGGGAATGTCTTAACTA